TTAAGCAGTGACGCACATTGGGCGTATTTCGATTTCTACTTGAACTATATTGAACTTTTAACAATGTTCTATTGAGTTGCATGGTTTGAAGAAAAGTTGTCACTCTTTTATTGCTATTTCTTTGACTCCTTTTGAAAGTTTTTTAATACAGGGGTACTTTGTGTGTGACTCTTTGTTGCGTAGGTTGTCTTACACTCAACCATCCATAAATCTTTCCCTTCTTCGTCACGGCCAAAGCTTTTGCCTACCGGTTGTTGGTATACACTAGCTGGCGTCGGTTCAAAAGCAAAAAAAAAAAAAAAGTGATAACTCATACAAAAAACACATGAAACTTTACAACAGTACGTAATATATATTTCTATAAAACATGGCTGCCAACATTAGCTTTACATTTTATGTAATGATGGACAGGTTAGTTAATTGTGTCACACTTGATTGATGGTGAGTCTGTATTTGGAATAAAACTTTACCACGCGTGAAATAGTTTTATTCCACAAAATGAATAATTCCATATAGTGACAGACGAAATGTCCCATTCCATATATCACTTGAAATTATTCTTTCCATGAGCATCTTCGAGACGATTTAGTGTTGAAGGTCTTGCTCTTAATTGGAGTTCACCGTGACGCAAGTGCATTGGAAAAAGCCATCAAATATTGTTTTTGACGAAAACTTCCAAGAGATGGCGTTACTGCGGGATGTTAACGATTTCCCCAGATTTCTCCAGACAGTTTGGATGATCGTGGCTTTAAACATTGGACAATAAAAGTGTACAAATCAAAACCCCAGTTTTACGACTCCGTCATCAGCCGTGCGTAAAATGTGGCATGCATTTATGTACAGCTGCATAACGTGACCTTTCACGCAACGTTGGAAATCCTAAATTGCTTGGAAAACTCCCAGTGAGGGCCAAAACGCACAATAACACATGTATTTTATCATGATTGTTATTTCTAATGTTCATAAATCACATGACGGGAATTAACCAGTCATGCGATCTCAGGCTGACCACGGCCAACGAGAAAAGGGAACCCTGCCCACGTTGAATCGGCAAAGTGCGCATCTGAGCATTCAGAACAGGTGATTCTGTGCTCTGAAAGGTTAAAGTCTGGCAGACATTTCAAAAATGGACTGATAAAGAATTTCAAGTTGGAAGTTAGAAGACCGCAATTCGCTCGTCAGGCAGGCCGGC